CCTCTTGTAGGCACCTCATGTAAGTGGATTCACGCAACACTGGCCCTTTTGTATCTGGACTATTTCACTTTGCATAATGTTTTCAAGTTCATCCATGTTGTAGCATGTATCAGAACTTCATTCCTTTTTTGCAGCTGAATGATATTTCACTATATATGTTGACACACATACACATATCACATTCTGTTTCTCTATTTATCTTTGAGGGGCTCTTGAGTTGTTTCTACCTTTTGGCTATTGCAGACAATGCTGTAATGATCACTGGCACACAAATATCTGTTTGGGCTGTGGTGCAGGGCATTAAAGCCCTGGCCTGAAGTGCCGGCATCACACATAGGTGCCGGTTCTAGTCCCACCTGCTTCTCTTCTGATCCAGCTCTCTGCTTTGGCCTGGGATGGCATTAGAATGATGGCCCAAGTCCTTGGGCCCCTGCACCCATGTGGGAGACATGGAAGAAGCTCCTGGCTTCGGATCAGTACAGCTCCAGCTATTGTGGCCATCTGGGGAGTGAACAAGCAGATGGAAGACCTCTCTCTGTCTCTACCTTTCTCTGTAACTCTTTCAAATAAATAAAATAAATCTTAAAAAAAAAGTATCTGTTTGAGTGTCTGTGTTCAGTTCCTCTGGAGACTATACATATACATACACATACACATGTATGAATGGAAATATATATGTGTATATACATATATATATATATATACGGAATTGCAGAGTATATTGGTGTTCCTCAGAGAAACAATCAATAGGACTTATATTGAATACACACATACATACACACATGTATAAGGAAGAGAGAGGGAAAAAGAGAGAGAGGAAAAGAGACAGAGAAGAGACAAAGGGTAAAGAGAGTGATTTATTTTAAGTAACTGGCTTGTGCAATTGTGGGGACTGGAAGTCTGAGTTTTGCCAAGCAGGCAGGCAAGCCAGAGCCCCAGGGAAGAGCTGACATTGCAGTTCAAGTCTAAAGGCCACCTGGAGGCAGATTCCATTTTCCTGAGGGACCTCAGTCTTTTTCTTGCAAGGCTTCAACAATGGAGAGTGATTTGCTTTACTCAAAGCTGACTTAAATGTTAATCTCATCTAAAAATACCTTCACAGGGACATCTCGACTTCTGTTTGATTAAATAACTGGATACTACAGCCTGGCCAAGTTGACACATAAAACTGACCATTGCATAGCATCATGTGGTAATTCTATATTTAATATTGAGGAAATGCCAAATTGCTTTCCACAGTGCCTGAAACCTTTTCATTCCCACTAGCAATATGCAGTGTTCCAACTCCTCCACACCCTCATCAGCACTTACTATTTTCCCTTTATAAAGATTTAGCCATCCTAGTAGGTGTGAAGTGGTATCTCACTGTGGTTATGATTTGCATTTTCCTAGTGGCTGAGTACATTTTCATGTGCTTGCTGTCCATTTACATATCTTGTCTGAAGAAATGTTTATTCAAGACCTTTTCCCATTTTGGAACTGGGTTGTTTCTCTTATCAGATACACAGTTTGCAAATATTTTTTCCAGTTCTCTAGGTTGCTACTTGACTTGCTTATGTTCTTTGATACACAAAAGATTTTAATGTTAATTAAGTCCAACTTACCTATTTATGGTTGTTATTGCTCCTGATTTTGGTGTCAAATCTAAGAATCTATTGCCAAGTCCACGCTCATGAAGTTTTACCCATTTTATTCTAAAAGTTTTGTGGTTTTAGCTTTCATGTGTATAATTGATTCATTCTTTTTTTTTTTTTTTTAAAGATGTATTTATTTTACTTGAAAGTCACAGTTACACAGAGAGAGGAGAGGCAGAGAGAGAGAGAGAGAGGTCTTCCATCCGCTGGTTCACTCCTCAACTGGCCACAACGGCCGGAGCTGTGCTGATCCAAAGCCAGGAGCCAGAGGCTTCCTCTGGATCTCCCACGTGGGTGCAGGGGCCCAAGGACTTGGGCCATCTTCTACTGCTATCCCAGGACACAGCAGAAAGCTGGTTTGGAAGTGGAGCAGCCCGGTCTTGAACCGGCACCCATATGGGATGCCAGCACCACAGGCAGTGGCTTTACTTGCTACGCCACAGTGCTGACCCCTAATTGATTCATTCTGAGTTAATTTGTGAATATGGTAGATATATGTCATCATATACATACCACATGTTTGTATATATTAGTCCAACTGCATTCTTTGGCTTATGGATATCCAGTTGTCCCATTTCATGTGTTCAAGAGATTGTTCTTGGGAAGCTGGAATTGTGGCATAGTGGGCTAAGCCTCTGCCTGTGGTGCTGACATCCCATATGGGCAATAGTTCTAGTTCTGGCTGCTCCTCTTCCAACCTAGCTATCTGCTATCACCTGGGGAAAGCAGTAGAAGATGGCCCAAGTGCTTGGGCCCCTGTACCCACATGGGAGACCCGGAAGAGGCTTCTGGCTCCTGGCTTCAGATTGGACCAGCTCCAGACATTGCAGCCATTTGGGAAGTGAACCAGCAGATGAAAGACCTTTCTCTCTGTCTCTCCCTCTTTCTGTCTGTAAGTCTACCTCTCAAATAAACAAATAAAATCTTAAAAGACAAAGATATTGTTCTTTTCCTGTAATGGTCTTGAATCTTGGTTGAAAATATTGGCCATAGGTGTATGGGTTTATTTCTAGACTCAATTTTAATCCACTGGTCTATGTGTCTACCCTATTAAATAGATTTGTAGTAATTTTGAAATTGGGATGTGTGAGTCCTCCAATTTAGTTTCTAATTTTTCAAGATTTTTTTGTCTACTCAAGATCCTTTGGCCCAAGTCTTTAAAAAAAAAAAAACCAAGATTTTATTTATTTATTTGAGAGGTAGAGTTACAGAGATAGGGAGAGACAGAGAGAAAGGTTGTCCACCTACTGGTTCATTTTCCAGATGGCTGCAATGGCCAGAGCTGAGCCAATCCAAAGCTAGAAGCCAGGAACCTCCTCTGTGTCTCCCACATGGGTGCAGGGGCCCAAGCACTTGGGTCATCCTCCACTGCTCTCCCAGGCCATAGCAGAGAGCTGGATTAGAAGAGTAGCAGCTGGGATATGAGCTGAGAGCCTTACAAGATTATGGAGCCACAGGTAGAGTGCCACAGCACGGGCCCCTGTCCCAAGTCCTTGTGATCCTGAAGCCACATGGGAGACCTGGATGAAGCTCTTAGCTCCTGGTTTCAGATTGGCCCAGCTCCAGCTGTTGTGGCCATTTGGGGAGTGAACCATTTGAAGGATGATATCTCTTTCTGTCTCTCCCTCTCTCTCTGTAACTCTACCTTTCAAACAAGTAAAACAAATTAAAAAAAATCTCTTGCAATTTCATATACATTTTAATATCAGTTTTTGCACTTCTGGAAAATAAAAAAGCCATTAAGATTTTGGTAGGGATTGCAGTGAATCTTTAAAGTTGCTTTTGGTATTATTCTCAATGTAACAATAAGTCTTCCAATCCATGAACATGGTATGCCTTTCCATTTATTTAGATTTTCTTTTAATTTCTTTCAGGAATGTTTTATAGCTTTCAGTGAGTGAGTCTTTTACCTCCTTTGTTAAATTTATTTCTAATTTATTTTATTCTTTTGGATGCTACTGCAAAAGGAATTATTTTCTTTTTAAAAAATGTTTTTAAATAAGATTTATGTATGTACTTATCTATTTGAAAGGCACAGTGACAGACAGGGAGGGAAGGACAAAGGGAAAGAGAGACAGAGAGATTTTCTTTCTTTTTTTTTTTTTTTTTGACAGGCAGAGTGGACAGTGAGAGAGAGAGACAGAGAGAAAGGTCTTCCTTTGCTGTTGGTTCACCCTCTAATGGCCGCCATGGCCAGCGCGCTGCGGCCGGCGCACCGCGCTGATACAATGGCAGGAGCCAGGTGCTTATCCTGGTCTCCCATGGGGTGCAGGGCCCAAGCACTTGGGCCATCCTCCACTGCACTCCCTAGCCACAGCAGAGAGCTGGCCTGGAAGAGGGGCAACCGGGACAGAATCCGGCGCCCCGACCGGGACTAGAACCCGGTGTGCCAGCTCCGCAAGGCAGAGGATTAGCCTAGTGAGCCGCGGTGCCGGCCACGAGATTTTCTATCTACTAGTTTACTCCCCAAATGCCTACAACAGTTGAGGCTAGGCCAGGCCAAAGTCAGGAACCTAAAATTCCATCCAGATCTGTCATGTGAGTGTCAGGGACCCACCTCTGCCTTTCTAGGTGCATTAGCAGAAAACAGGATTAGAAATGTAGAATAGCTGGGACTTGAACCACTTGGATGTGGGTGCCCCAAGTGGTGGCTTAAACCACTACACAACATCTGGAATTGTTTTCTTAATTTCCTTTTTTTTTTTTTTTTTCATTGCTGGTGTATAGAAACCCAACTTATTTTTGTGTAATCTCATACCCTGTGACTGTGCTGAATTTATTAGCTCTAGTAGGGAATTTTTGGTGGATGTTTTTGTATTTTATATATATATAGGACCATATCATCTGCAAGTAGAGATAATCTTACTTCTTCCTATCTAATGTGGATGACATGTATCTGTTTTTCTTGTGTAACTGCCCTGGTTAGACCTTCCAGTGCAATGTTGAATAGCAGTGGTGAAAGTGCTATTGGTGAAAGGCAGCCTTGTATTGCTCCTGATCTTAGAGGAAAGCTTGCAGTATTTTAAAGACAATATGCTTTTGTATTAAAGCCAGTGGTATATTTTAATGGAAAAGAAAACACAGTAAACTCATCTGAGATAGAAGTAGAGAAGGCCTAGGGGCTACTGACTCCAAGGAAGGCAGATGACAGACAGTAGGCATTAAACAGTAGATAGTTCTAGACCCAGTGTAATGTTTAGCTGAGTGGAATACAATGAGGGTAGGAGGAGGAATGCTTGCTACTTAAAATGTTTGAGTAAATTGTTTAGAAATTCTATACAGTACATCACAAAAATTAACTTACAGTGATCAAACATGAGATAGAGGAAATATAAAGGAACTAGAGACTGACACTTCTATAAATACCTGTAAGTTGAGAGTATTGCCTGAAAACGTCAGAAGGTGTAGGTCCTGCCAGTAGAAAGACATCAATGATTCCACTCTCTGACATCCAGTGCACGTCAGTTCGACATCTGATCTTTTGTTTAGCAGCGGCTGGGCCTACCTGGGTCAACGTGTACTGGGAAAGGAGTAGAATGAAAATTTTCTCAGTTTCCTTCTATCCAACAATACCTGTCCACCTATAAGTAAGTCTCTTCCCATAGTGGATACTGCTAACATTCTCTGATTACAGTTCAAGGCTGCAAAGACAAGGGCTATTGACTACCCTGCAGTGGCTTTGTGTTTTCCATAAGGATGACGTGCAGCCGAGATCCACAGCTCACCTCTACCGCAGGCTCTGTATTGATTTCCACAAGTGTTTCTGAGGCATTCAGCCAGAAAATTCCTACAGTCTTGCCAAGTTTGTGAGCCAGGAGATAAGGGATTGAACCATAAATGCCCATTTTGTCATGTATTTTATATCCATAGACATCCAGGTTATACAGACGGTAAGCATCTCCATCGCTGAAACACATATAAGGATTGTCATCCTTCAGCATCTGTCATTGAGTGGGGAGCAGCTCCATTCTCTTCTGTAAATCTGAGGTCCCACACCTCCTTCAAGCCCCAACTTATTATTTTCCTAAAGATTTCCTGATGCACCTGGGTGAATGTGATCCTCTTCCTTTGTTTCCTTCGCACCTCCTCCTATGACAACTGGTACACAGGATACCATATCTTATGCATCTTTTCTAAGTATCTTCTGTGAGGGGAAAGCTGCCTTCTGTGACTGTTCCACAATAGTAAGCATACAGCAAGTACCCACTGATGAATTTTGTGATACTTTTCTGCAGCTAAAACCAAAGGATAGTGTCCTAACAGGCTTCTGTAGTGCAAATAGGGAAAGAGCGGGAACTGAATTACGGTCAGGAGCACTGAGCTCAGGCAGATGACAGCACAGCTTCGGATGGAATTGCCACCGTGCCTACTTAGCAAGGAAACAGCCCCTAGACCTGGCAATCCTGATAAGACTCTATTGCTCTTCGGTTTTATTTCCTCTTTGCTGGATACATCTGACATCTATTTATCTAAAGTGTTAGCCTGAAATGAAGTGATCTTCCTGAGGGAATCAAAACTGATATGCAATGCTGTGTTTTTTTCACTCTCTGACTCCCTGGCCTGTTTTGGTAAAGCCTTTTTCTAGGTCAGTTACTTTTTTGCATAGTGTTTTTCTTCCAGGGCTCCCAGAAAGCACCCGAGAGCTGAAAGTGAAACTGAGAGGTGAGGTGCTCTCCCCTCAAATTCAACCATGGCAGTGTTCTCTTTTCACTCCTTTACATTTTTAGGTTCAGCATTAGTTTTTTATAATTGTATAATTTTTACTGAGCAAAAAAGAAACAAAATTGAGTATCGTTGCTCTGAATGATCATTCAAGGATCTTAAAGATCTCAAGCAATACCAAGGAGCAAGTGACCTGGCACATATTGTACTGTCACCGGCTTGGTCATCTCAGAAATGTTGCTCTCAAATGTCTTCAATCCAGAACCCAGAATGTTTTCCTTTACCTAGTATTTTTAAGTTGGTGTGATTCTGCATGTTGTGGGATCCCATAGAGGTGCTCGAATCCATGTAAGGAGAAATCCAAACCAATGGAGGCAGGACCTGTAGAGACAGGACAAAGACCAAGGTTTGCTTCTCAACAGGACAATCATTAAGGAGATTCGTTTAACTCTGAGTGTTATGACTACAGTAGGAGTCCAGAGGCCTAAGCTTGCCCTGAGCAGTCACCAAATGCTGGGGACTGACTGTAACATTTGTAACATGTTATTTATTCAGGTCTTGTGGTGATACAAAAATGTCCAAGGCAAAGTTCCAGTCACTTATTAGTTATGTCAACTTAGCTGTACACTAAAGTCCTCTGTGTCCTTATCTACAGTATGTTTCTTTTCTATTTGTGAAACATGGTTACAAAGTTTTAGATCTTTTTCTAGTTGAAATTTTCCTGAAATATGTTGCATACTTCTTAGCTTTGGGAAGCAAAGAATATTGAATACTTCTAATCTTTGTGAGATGAATGATGGGGTATCCTCTGACTTGTCATTTATTCTTATTGCCAGACTTGTTTGTGGCTGCCTACAGCGACTAACATCATGGGCACAAGAAGGGCCTTTCATAGTTCCTCAGTATACTGCTTCCCTCAACTGTAGGTATATAAACTTCCTTTAGGCAAAGATAAAGTTCTTTAACAATTATTTTAGAGACATGAAGAAAATACAAATGAGTCGAAGACACAGCACTGACTTAAATTTCCAGTCAGGGAGTGAGAGAGGGTAGATATTTGGCTTAGTGCTTAAGATACCCACATCCCATAATAGGTGCCTGGGTTCAATATCTACCTCTGGCTCCTCACGCCAGCTTCCTGCTGATGCAGCCCCTGGGGAGGCAGTGCTGATGGCTCCAATGATTGGGTTCCTGCCATCCATGTGGGAGACCTGAATTGAGTTCCTGGCTCCTGACTTCAGACTGGTCTGCTCCCAGTCATTAGTGCACTTAGGGTGTGAATCGGCAGATGGGAGCTCTCCCTTGCTGTGTCTCTTCCCATCTCATCTATGAGAGGTTAAAGTCCTTGACATCGAAAAGCCCTTATTTGAAGGAGCTTGGAAAGGGGTGCCTCAAAGAAAGTAACAAAGATTATGCTGTTACAGAAGAGAGTCTGCGAACTCCTCTGCCTATGAATTTTTTGCATTTTACCAGCCCTGATCATTATCCTGTGTTGCAAATAGGGATGGCTAAACAGGGATTCTCACAGAGTTTGCAAAGGTTTGTTACTCTATGGGTTCAGAAGGAAGAAGAAGGACGTGTTTTTCTAATCAGATAAGGTCCAAATATTGAAAGATTTCTCTGACAGAGTCAAACTCCAACCCCATCCTCATCCTAGGCCTAGTCAGAAATGTCGCAGGTGGGCAGGTGCTACCCACGAGGAATCAGATGGGGAGGCCTGGAAAAAGGGAGAACCACTGGCCTGGAATGCTGGAGTTGATGAGCTCTAGAATTTTCTCATCGCCTGACGCCAGTAAAAATAAAATGTAAGATGTGCAGCTATAAGATCTGCCGGACTTAGTCCCCTCCATGAGCCCTGTGTGGCCTAAACTTGTCTTATACAGCACATAATCAATCTTTCTCTGTTGCAATGCATTAGTGAAGGACAAGGGACTCCAATCTGAACTTCCTGTTTACTTCCCAGAAGTCACTTGCATTAGATGCCAAAACTCAAGGGACTTTTAGGCAGAGACAGTCATTTTGCAATGATCTGTGTTAATTCCATGCCAGTTTCGATTTTACCATTAGCTTTGACATCCACAAAGTTTCCAAATTTCTCCTCCCACAGGCCCAGATCATCTTCATTTTCCTGTTGGTACAAAAGGGGAAAACTGAGTTTATAAATTACCACAAAGGTGTTATGTTACCACAATAATAATTTCATTTGGATTAATTAAAAAAAAGACTGACAAAATGGATCATCTTTTAGAAAACCAGTTTGTGATGCCAGGACATTTAATAAGTCAAATCTGTGTTCTGTATAATGTCAACAATCACCCTTCTGAGCCATAGCTGATATGAATATCTTTTTTTAGTGTGGCAAATATTCATATCAAATTTACCACTTTAACCATTTTCAAGCATTAAATATATTCACACGTGCCACCATTGTCATGTATCTCCAGAACTTTTTCTTCTTCTCAAACTGAACCTCCCTATCCATTAAAAAGTAGCTTCCTACTCCCTGCCTCCCCTCCCTAGCAACACCACTCTACTTTCACTTGAAAGACAGAGCCACACAGAAGCACAGGCAGAGAGAGAGAAGTCCTCCATCTGCTGGTTCACTCCCCAAATGGCCACAATAGCCAGAGCTGGGCTGATCTGAAGCCAGGAGCCTACAGTCTCTTCAGGGTCTTCCATATGGGTGCAAAGGCCCAAGGACCCAGGCCTTCCTCCACTACCTTCCCAGGACACAGCAGAGAGCTGGATTGGAAGTGGAGCAGTGGGGACTGGAACTAGCACCCACATGGGATGCCAGTACTGCAGGCAGTGGCTCTACTTGCCACACCACAGGGCTGGCCCCACCACTTTACCTTCTGTCTCTATGAATTTCACTCCTCTACATACCTTGTACAAGTGGAATCATACGGTATTTGTTCTTTTCTGTATAGCTTATTTCACTTAGGATGAGATCTTTGAGTTTCACTCATGTTGTACCACATGTCAGAATTTCCTTCCTTTTCAAGTATGAATACTATTCCATTGTATGCAGATACCACATTTTGTCTATGTGTTTATCTCTCAATGATAATTGGGTTACCTTCTTCTTTTGGCTACTGTGATCAGCACTGCTATTAACATGAGCATACGAATATGTTTGAATTTCTGCCTTCATTTTGGGGTATCTACCCAGAAGTGGAATTGCTGGAGCATATCATAATTTGATGTTTAATTTTTTGAGGAACAGCCACACTGCTTGACAGAAGTATGTTTACTTGAACCAAAATGATGCAAAAGCATTTTGAAAAACGCAGTCTATACATGTGTAAGAACTTAAATTCTTTTTCCTTATAATTATGTGAAGCACACATTTAGAGTCAAACAACTTAGGTCTGTTTTGAGAGATCCTAAGTTGAGATTTATTTTTGCTGAGCTGGGCTCAGAGTTCTCTCCCACTTCACACCTTCAATTAGCCAAACTACTGGCTATACTCTTGCGCTGGTCTGAGAAGCCAGGTCAATCCCTAATCTGTACAACTATAATCTTTCTCAGGTTTACAAATGTCTTCTTTTTCCTAGTAGAATAAATATCTTTAAAAATTGTGCATGTGTGTGTGAACTTCATATTTCTTTTTTTCTTTTTTTTTTTTTTTAGGTTTATTTATTTATTTGCAAGTCAGAGTTACACAGAGAGAGGAGAGGCGGGGTGGGGGGGGAGAGGTCTTCCATCCGATGATTCACTCCCCAATTGGTCGCAACGGCCAGAGCTGCACCGATCCAAAGCCAGGAGCCAGGAGCTTCTTCCAGGTCTCCCACGCGGGTGCAGGGGCCTAAGGACTTGGGCCATCTTCTACTGCTTTCGCAGGCCACAGCAGGCTGGATTGGAAGTGGAGCAGCCGGTGCTTGAACTGGTGCCCATATGGGATGCTGGCACTTCAGACCAAGCCATTAACCTGCTGCACCACAGCGCTGGCCCCCATATTTTTTTAAAATGTGCTGTTTGCCCATTTCTAGGTTGTTTCTTCATAGTCAAAACTATAAATTGTATCACACTGAATTTTTAACATAGAGGTTATTATACTATGGATGCAGTTCAGAATTCCCTCAGATATTTTCTATAGAGACAGCTTATAGCTTCTATCACATTCTTGCAAAAGTTCCTGTGACTCAAAATTATCACCTGAGGTGCTGGTGCTGTGGTGTAGTGGGTAAAGCTGCTTGCCTGCAGTGCCGGCATCCCATATGGGTACCGGTTCAAGACCCAGCTGCTCTGTTTCTGATCCAGCTCTCTGCTATGGCCTGGGAAAGCAGCAGAAGGTGGCCAAGTCCTTGGGCTCCTGCACCCACATGAGAGACCTGGAAGAAGTTCCTGGCTCCTGGCTTCAGATCAGCCCAGCTCTGGCTGTTGCAGCCATTTGGGGAGTGAACCAGCAGATGGAAGGTCACTCTGCCTCTGCCTCTCTGTAATTCTGCCTTTCAAATAAATACATTTTTTTTAAAAAACCCAGAAAACAAAATCACTACTTAAGCCATCTAATTTACTCTAAAACTGATTTAACACATTATCACAGGACTGTATAAGGTTCTGTCTAAGTTACTCTTGACTTCTCTATCTGGAAATGGAAAAAATATTATTTCACAAGCCCACCAGCATGGGTCAGTTCTCCAGGGGAGAAGCATTTGACCCTGGCACTGAAAGCATGTAACATGTTTTACCATTCCAGCGGCTATGGCTACTGCCAGCGCCCTTTGAAGACACATGTGGCTCTGCATGAAGAGAAGACTTCTGGAGTGGCCCTTCTTCACAATTCAGCCCAATCATCTTTTAAAACAGAAACAAGGGCCAGCACTGAAGTGCCAGCATCCCATATGGGTGCTGGTTCTAGTCCTGGCTGCTCCTCTTTCTTATTTTTTTTCTTTTTGACAGGCAGAGTGGACAGTGAGAGAGAGAGAGAGAGAGAGAGAGAGAGAGAAAGGTCTTCCTTTTTCTGTTGGTTCACCCTCCAATGGCTGCTGCGGCTGGCGCACTGATCCGAAGGCAGGAGCCAGGTGCTTCTCCTGGTCTCCCATGGGGTGCAGGACCCAAGGACTTGGGCCATCCTCCACTGCACTCCCGGGCCACAGCAGAGAGCTGGACTGGAAGAGGGGCAACCGGGACAGAATCCGGCTCCCTGACAGGGACTAGAATCTGGTGTGCCAGTGCCGCAGGCAGAGGTTGGCTGCTCCTCTTTCAATCCAGCTCTCTGCTATGGCCTCGAAGGCAGCAGAGGATGGCTGATGTCCTTAGGCCCCTGCACCCATGTGGGAGACCTGGAAGAAGCTCCTGACTCTTGACTTCGGATTGGCTCTACTCTGGCCATTGCGGCCATTTGGGGGCTGAAACAGCAGATGAAGACCTCTACTTCTCTCTCTGCATTTCAAATAAATAAAAATAAATCTTAAAAAAAAAAAAAAACAGAAACAAGACCATGTATCTCTGTTTCTTAAAACTCTACAGTCTTCCTTAGGCTTAGTATAAACTGAAAAAGGTTATCCTCGCTTAGAAAGGTAAACTCCACCATAAATATGGGACTTAAATTTGTTAAGCAGGGTGTCATCAATTTCTTGAATAGTACCTGGTGTCTATAGGAGGGACTCAACAAATACTTGTTGAATAAGAGAACTGTTACAAGTCTCTCCACGGAACTACCCTGCCTGGTTCTCTAGTCTAGTTCTGTTTTACACACACACACACATACACACACTCACAACTCCCCCTCACCCATCTCTTCAAATGTACTCCTTCCCATTTCAAGGTTTTTGAATGTGCAGTTCTTCCTTCCTGGAATATCCTTTTCCTGACTTTTTGCCTGGTTAATGTAAATGAACACACAGTCTCTGTTTTAACATATCTCCTTCAGAAGGTCTTTCTGACTCCCATGTTGCTCAGTTGACTTGTATTCTCCTGAGCACCCGTTTGTAACACTCCCAGTTTGGAATTATTTAGTAACTGCCTTTCCCAATAGGCTCTAAATTCTATGAGGATAGGTTTGGTATTTCTATTATTCAAGGTTGATTCGCTTCCCTAGCACAATGCTTGTCAAAAATCAGGCACTCAGGAGGTATCAGCTTTTATGAATGAATGAATAAACGAATGAAAGGATCAATGAGATGATGAGGTGAGCAAAAGCAAAAGGTAGTCCCATTTACATGTGGTAGAACACTCAGCAAGCGCCCTTCTGTAGAACACAGGAAGACAATTCATTACCTGCTTTATGAGTATTATGATGGCGAAGAAGGCAACAAAGATCACTCACTCAATCTACATTACCTTGGCGGTGTCAACTGAGGCACTTTGGTTTTCTTTGGTAGCTCTGTTTTAACATAAATAAAACTGTGTCACTCAATGGCAAGTCAGACAGAATTTTGTCCAATGATAAAGATTTTCATTTCCAACTTTCGAGACTACATACATTATAACTTTTAACTTGTTGAATATAAATCATCATACAAATTAAAGTTTATGATTGAACATTAATAATAAACCTTAATTGCATTACTTGATTTCTTATAAAAATATAGATGTATTGGAGTTTTCTTAATTCTTTAAAAATGCCTTTATCATTTTTATGACAAGTATAATAAAAGCTCATAATATTTCAATGAAACATAAATAGACAAGGTAGACAACATAGCTCCCCTCACTCAATGTTCCCTTGATACAAAGCAAAATGTAGTCTCTCAGAAAGATTGTGAAAATTATTCTTTCATCTGCAGGTATATTTGATTGCTTTTCATTTCCTCATTCTTTTTTTTCTTTTCTTTTCTTTTTTTTTTTTTTTTTGAAGAGTTATCAGCAGGGAGCTGGAATGGAAGTGGAGCAGCTGGGACTTGAACCAGTGCAGATTTGGGATGCCGGCATTGCAGGTGAAAGCTTAACCTTCTATGCCACAGCACCGGCCCCTCCCAACATTCTTCATCTTATTTTTTTTTTTATAGATTTTTTATTTATTTTAAAGGCAGAGTTACAGAGAGGCAGAGGCAGAGAGAGAATGAGAGAGGTCTTCCATTTGCTGGTTCACTCCTCAAATGGCTGTAACAGCTAGAGCTGGGCCAATCTGAATCCAGGAGCCTGAACCCTCCTCTAGGTCTCCCACACAGTGCAGAGGCCCAAAGATTCTGGCCATCCTCCACTGCTTTCTCATGCCATAGCAGGGAGATGAATCAGAAGCAGAGCAGCTGAGACTTTAACTCTTGCGAATATGGGATGCCAGTATCGCAGGTGGAAGCTTAACCTTGTATGCCACAGTGGGCCCCTCCCCATACTCTCTCTCTCTCTTTTTTTTTTTTTTTTTTTTGACAGGCAGAGTTAGACAGTGAGAAAGAGAGAAAGAGAGACAGAGAGAAAGGTCTTGCTTTTTTCATTGGTTCACCCCCTAAGTGGCCGCTACGGCTGGTGCATTGTGGCCGGTGCGCTGTGCAGATCCGAAGCCAGGAGCCAGCTTCCTCCTGGTCTCCCATGGGGTGCAGGGCCCAAGGACTTGGGCCATCCTCTACTGTACTCCCAGGCCACAGCAGAGAGATGGACTGGAAGAGGAGCAACCAGGACAGAATCCGGCACCCCAACCGGGACCAGAACCCGGGGTGCTGGCGCCGTAGGTGGAGGATTAGCCTAGTGAGCCGCGGTGCCGGCCATCCCCACACTCTTTTTTTTTTTTTTTTTTTGTCTTTTTCTCTTTTTTTTTTTTTTTCTTTTTTTCATTACATCCCCACACTCTTAACAATGGACTTTATCAATCTTTTGAGTCTTTGCCAAACTAAAATTTTACAATAGATAATACATTTCAGTTTGTATTTGTATGATTACTAATGATGTACACTACCTTTCAAAACACTGACTGGTGCTTTTAGTTCCTCAGTGAACTGTTCCATGGATATACTTGCATGTATGCAAAATTATACATATGTAAGGTTATTTATAAAGTAATTAGTTGTAAAACAAGATCAGAAATAACAGTCTAGTGGTGGGCATTTGGTGTAGCAGTTAAGACACTATTTGGGATGCCTATATTCCATATCAGAGTACCCAGGTTCGAGTCCTGCCTCTGCTTCCAATCTAGCTTCTTGCTAGTGTGTACCCTTGGAGGCAGCAGGTGATGATGGCTCAAGTACTTGGGTCCCTGACACTCACAAGGGAGACCTGGATTGAGTTCTGGGATCCTGATTTTGGCCTGGCCCAGTTCCAGCTGTTGTGAGCATTTGGGGAGATAATAAGAAATCTTTCTCTCTGCCTTTCAAATAAAACAAAAACATATAAGTATAAATTAAAAAAAAAAAAGGATCCAAGGCAGGCTTTAGGCACAGTGGTTAAGATGCTGCTTGGAGGGACCAGTGCTGTGGTGTACCGAGTAACGCTGCCTGCAGTGCCAGCATCCCATATGGGTGCCGGTTCGAGACCTAGCTGCTCCACTTCTGATCCAGCTTTCTGCTGTGGCCTGGGAAGGCAGCAGAAGATGGCCCAAGTCTTTGGGCCCCTGTACCCACATGGGAAGACCCAGAGGAAGCTCCTGGCTCCTGGCTTCAGATCGGCACAGCTCCAGCCATTGTAGCCAATTTGGGAGTAAACCAGCTGATGGAAGACTTCTCTCTCTCTTTCTCTCTCTCTCTCTCTCTCCCTCTTCCTCTCCTTCTCTCTCTGTGTAACTCTGACTTTCAAATAAGTAAATAAATCTTAAAAAAAAAAAAAAGATGCTGCTTGGAATGCCCATATCCAATACCGCAGTGACTGGGTTTGAATTATTTCATTTCCAGCTTCCTGCTAATGTGTAATCTGAGAGACACGGTAATGGTTCAAATACTCGGATCCCTGCCATCTATGTGGAAGACCTAGATTGAGCTCTGGCTTCCTGGTTTTGGCCTGGCTCAGCCATGGCTGCTGTAGGTATTGACAAGACTGGAAATTTCTTATCCTAAGGCTCCACCCTGTGCCACCCTGCAAGACAGACTTTGGTTTCTTAAGATTGGGCCTGGTTTACTAGAAATCAGGTGTCCAGATGGCCCAACTCTAAGTGTCAACTCCACTCCCTACCCTAACAGGATTCGCTGTTCCCACTTCCTTGTCTCTGCAAGACTATTTTTTTTTGAAGAGTTATTTTATTTATTTGAAAGAGTTACAGTGAGGTAGAGCCAGAGAGAGAGGGCATCCATTCCACTGGTTCACTCCCCAAATGACCACAATGGCCGGAGCTGAGCTGATCCAAAGCCAGGAGCCAGGAGATTCTTCTAGGTCTCCCACATGGGTGCAGGGGCCCAAGGAGTTGAGCTATCTTCTACTGCTTTCCCAGGCCATAGCAGAGAGCTGGATCAGAAGAGGAGCAGCTGGGACTCAAATCGGTGCCATACAGGATGCTGGCACTGCAGACTGGGGCTTTAACCTGCTGTACCACAGCACCAGCCCCATCTGCAAGGCTATTATAAGACCTGTTTTTCCAGCACAGGCTGCTGCTCTTTTCTGCACAGAAAGGCAGCCTGTTGGTCCTCCCCCACCCTCACCCTGACAATAAAACCTTTCCTTTTACTCTGGTGTTCAGTGTGTTTTTGGGGGGCCGTTTCAGTAGGCACATGGGGAGTGAACCAGTGGATGGAAGATCTCTCTCTCTCTCTCTCTCTCTCTCTCTCAATCTGTGTGTCTCCACATCTCTCTGTCACTCTACCTTTCAAATAAATTTAAAAATCTTTGGGAAAAAAATGGAGTAATAGCTCTTCCTTACCACGACCTCTCAATTCACGTGACCTCACACAGTGTTGATCAAACGAATGGCCCCAGAAAATTCCTGAAAAACTATTCAGATCTAGGGTAATGCATGTTATTGTAGGGGAGAAAATTGAAATTCTAAAGACTTGCTAGTTCACATCGACATTTTTCAAGTACACAGTGTGCTTTCTCAGAAGAGTGCAAAGCATAGAGAATATCATTGATTAGGTACAGCATGTGGTAAGTGTGTAACATTACAGCAGTTTGGGAGTCATTTTTGTCCTAAAGCCTGTATTTACCTGAAAACATGAAATTTCTCAGGACAGCACAATAGTAAAAAAACTAGAACAATTTTCAATGGTGACATGTTATCTATTTAGGCAACTAGTATTCATGATAACGTTTTCTTAAGGTTGTTATGTGTCAAACAGTATGCAAAAATACCTTTGTTTCTGAGGAACCTGTAGGTGTTCAAAGTATAACTGGCTCAGGGAATTTATGCTCATCACTACCTCTTCTCCAGACACCAGGTCTACCTTGAATGGCTTTGCTGTGATATGACATTTCAGATCTCCTTTTTCATCTGCTAATACCACATTGCCTGAATCCCCTGAGCATGAAATCAGCCTAGAAAACAAAGCACAAAGAGAAAAAAAAAAGTTGCTATGGGTTTACATGGCTCTATGCAATTTTCAATTCAAAGCAATTAAGCAGTAAATCAACACTCGTGTGACTCAACACTAGTAAAGGAGTAGGGGGGGCTGGTGTCCTGGCACAGTAGGTTAAGCTGCTGCCCGCGATACATCAAGTTGCAGCTGCTCCACTGCCAGTCCAGCTCCCTACTAATCCATCTGTGAGGGCAGTACTAGGGTCCAAGTACTTGGGTTCAAGTACTTGGGTCCCTGCCACCAAATGGGGTTCCAGGCTCCTGGCTTTGGTCTGGCTCACCCCTGGACATTGCAGGCATTTGGGAAGTGAACCAGCAGATGGAAGATCTCTGTCTTTGTCTCCCTCTCTCACTCTGTAACTGTGTCTTTCAAATAAATAAATAAATCTTTAAAAAAATTAAGGCAGTAGAGAACTGTCACCAGAGCAAGAGCTTTGGTATTGGACGGCTTGCATTGAACATCACTCTACCTTACACTTTAAAACTTTGGATAACAAAGTCCCCAATCTATCTAGGTCTCAATTACCTTAGTTATAAAGTGGAAATAACAAAAGCATTAGAGTTTTTGGAGAGAACATACATGTAAAACACTTTTTAGTTTCTATGACAATACCTTGTAAGAACTTAAAGCCAGGGGCTGGCATTGTGGCACAGCAGGTTAAGCTGCTGCCTGCAATGTTGGCATCTCCTATTGCAGCAACATTTTGAGTCCCAGCTGCTCCATTTCTGATCCAGCTTTCTGCTAATGTGCCTGGGAAAGAAGTAGAAGATGGCCCAAGTACTTGGGTCCCTGCTATCCATGTCAGAAACTCGGATGCACCTTCAGGCTCCCGGTTTTGGCCTGGCCCAGCACCCGCCATTGAGATCATTTGGGGAGTGAACCAGTATCTCTATCCATCACGCTGTCATTCTGACATTCAAGTAAATACAATAAACCTTAAAAGTATTTAAAGCCCTCACACTGTGTTTTCTTTCTTTAAGCTCTTAGGTGAGGTTAACTGTTAGCGGTTGGGCTACCTCAGAATTTTGAATGCTGTGTGACAATCATAATAACTGCTACCTGGTCTTCAATAGGCACTTTATTTCAGCTGACTATTGGTAGTAAATTTCTTCAGAATGTCATGGTTTATCACTAATTGCATTAGTTTACTAGGATTGCCATAACAAAATAATACAGATTGTGTGGCTTAAACAACAGCAATATGTTTCTCACAATTCTGGCAGCTAGGTGTCCAAGATCTAGATGTTAGCAGGCTTGGTTCCTTGTGAGGCCTATTTCCTTGGTTTGCAGATGGCTGCCTTCTTTAGGGGTCTTCACGACATTGTCCTTGTATATGTATATGTATATGTATATGTATATGTATATGTATATGTATATGTGTGTGTGTGTGTGTGTTCATGTCCTTATCTCTTCCTCTAAGGCTATTAACTATAATGGATTAGGGCTTACTCCAGTGACCTCATTTTAATGTAATTACTTTTTCAAAGGCCCCATCTCTAAATACAGTCACATTCTGAGATACTGGGTCTTAGGGTTCCAGCATATACATTTTTTGGGAGACACAATTCACCTCATAACCCTAGTAGTCTATCTTCTAATGGTAATCAGGTCCTCACTGCCTTCAAATCCAACCAGGTCAATCACATATTCCTATCCTTGAGGGTCTGTTGCTTATATCTACTTCTTATACCAATAACTAAATCAATCAGGGCTCAACTATTCATAATAGACACACATTTTACTCTTTCAAGCAGAAAGTAAATGACTTAATATTGGGAATTATGTGCTCACGACATCATAGAAAAGGTTATGGTAGAGGTTTCAGGCTGGACATCTAGTAATGGCCCCTAGAACAATACTTCATAACAGTATAGCCAATGGAACTTCTATCTCATCTAGAACAAGAAGTTGAATAATCAGAAGTATTGTGGCAACCACTGGGTTCCAAGATCATACTACCTTAGCTGTTTCAAGAGACCCAGAAACCATGGGCCTAACCAATGGCCTTAGAACAACTCTACAGCTGCCAGACCAAATAAGCAAAATGGAAAACATGGTTCTAAAATCAAGATTTCTATAGGAGCAAATGATTGGTAAAATTGAACTATATGTGGACCTCTAGCTACAAAGGCATTTGGGGAAATGAGAAAAGTAGTTTTTAGCTTTCTAGTTACTACACTAGTCAAAGGCCCTCTATGAAGAGGTTGGAACAGAAGCAGAACTATTATATCTATCACACAAAGCTACTATTATCCCTAGCTTGGCTTTCTGGTTAAGATAACACAGAAAAAGAAAATTACAGATTAATTTAACTTATGAAGACAGACGTAAACATGTGACAAAATCAACTAGGAAATGGAGTCATCCAGGAAAGTAAGAACTAATATATTGTGATCAACTGGTTATGTATGTGCACGGACTCCACTGCTAAATGGCAAAAGCCTTGAGAACAGTCTATTTTGAATTCTCATTTCCTAAGTTCTTGACATATGGTAATGGCTCAGTTTTCAAAGGTTCTATCATAACTGAATTAATTTCTCCTTAATCTTTTATTAGGTTCTATCACAACAATTAATTTCTCCTTGATTTTTTTATTAGATTTTCTCCTATAGCTCCTAAAATATAAAGCCATAGTAATTAAAGAATAAAAGTTAAAGCCTTTGGCATAATCTTACATTCCCTTAGTGAAATAATATGCAAAATAACAGAAATCAACCGACAAAGTCAAGTTGAAATACCACTGGAAAGTGTGGTGAGAAATGGTTAAGGCTTTGCAGGTATCTGAGAAATGCTTTAGTCTTCAAAGATTGTTTTCATGTAGACATTAGTTATTAATTTATCTCTGACGCTAAGTAAAATTACACGTCAGTAATCATTTGAGAATACCATTAATTAACATCAAGTCAGACTAAATATAAATTACTCTCAGCAAGGGAGTTTGGCTAATATATTAGATCCCTGGAGCCCTGATGCTAATCTGAGTGAATAAATTAGGTAGCATTCCTTCTACTTTCTCTCCAGGTCTGACAACTGTTTTCATTGTGAGGTAGAGAGGGGGATCAAAGTTCCATCTCTTTCCATAATAAGTGACGTTAAGTCAAATGGTGGGTGAAGAAAAAACAGAATTGATAACATAGAAAATTGATAAAGTTATTCCCAAATAATTGAATACCAACTCTGAAAATAATTAACAGCTCTAAACAGACAAAACAAGAGGCAATACAAAATTGACTTCTCAGTGGCTGGTAAAAGAACACCTTGAGGGTGTATCTAGGATACCTTGTTCCTTGACTTACCTGACAGTACTTGGCTTGCTTGTGAGGACATCAGGAACTTCATACCTGGGTTTCAGGGGCATCTCTTCATTGATTTTAAGCCTGAAAATGTTTCTCTCTATACCATAAATTTCTGCCATGAGAGGAATCTGGGAATAGACACAAGAGATTAGCTTCAACGGGTTACCCCAAGGATGATCTATTCTAACATAATCAAATTACAATAATGAGAAAAGCACTTGTTAAAAACTATTACATGTCAGAATGGAGAACCATGGCAATAATAAAAAGAAAAAGCTTCAAATCTAGGTGTGTACTTGCTCAACTGTACCTGTGGAGCAATAAGAAAATCCTCTATGGGTTCTATGGCTAGATCAACATATAATTGTCTGAACCAGATCTTCAGAGTGACAGGAGTCTTTATTAATAATTACAATGGGTAACAGCCATAAACTGAAACTAGCCTTGGAAAATTGGGACATACGATCACTGTATCTATAAAAAAATCCACATGTAAGAATAAGAGTTTGGGGGCAGACATTCAGCACAGCCATTAAGACACTGCTTGCAATGCCTGCATCTCATATCAGAGTATGTGGGTTTGAGTTCTGTCTCCACTTCCCATCCAGCTTCTTGCTAATGTGCACCCTGGGAGGCAGAACATGATAGTTCAAGTACTGGGTCCCTGAAAAATATGTGGGAGACATGGATGCTCAGCCTTGACTGTTGTGGGCATTTGGTTTGTAAAACAGTAGTTGGAAGATTTGTGTGTGTGTGTGTGTGTGTGTGTGTTTGTCTATCTGCTTTTCAAATAAGCAGGGAAAAAAATGTTTGAGTATCAAAACCAGAGTAATTAGATTCCAGCTGAATTTTTTTTTTTTTTTTTTGACAGGCAGAGTTAGACAGTGAGAGAGAGAGACAGAGAGAAAGGTCTTCCTTTTTCCATTGGTTCACCCCCCAAGTGGCCGCCACAGCCGGCACACTGCACTGTGCAGATCTGAAGCCAGGAGCCAGGTGCCTCCTCCTGGCCCCCAACGTGGGCGCAGGGCCCAAGGACCTGGGCCATCCTCCACTGCACTCCCAGGCCACAGCAGAGAGCTGGACTGGAAGAGGAGCAATATGGCGCCCCACAGGACTAGAACCTGGGGTGCCGGCGCCGCAGGCGGAGGATTAGCCTAGTGAGCCACGGCGCCAGCCAAATTCCAGCTGAATTAAAGATGCAGGGTAGCAGGCAACAGGAGACAAAATAGAGACTAGGGGCTGATGTTGTAGTGTAGCAATTTAAGCCTCTGCCTGTGACAACGGCATCCAACCTGTTCCACTTATGATCCAGCTCCCTGCTAATGTACCTAGGAAAGCATCAGAAGATGGCCCAAGTGCTTGGGCCCTTGCACCCTTGTGGGAGACCTGGAAGAAGCTCCTGGACACTGGCTTTGGCTTGGCCCAGCACTGGCCATTGCAGCCATTTGGGGAGTGAATCAGTGGATAGAAGCTTTCTCGTGTGCGCTCTTTCACTCTCTCTCTAACTCTGTCTCTGTCTCTGTCTTTCAAATAAAATAATAAGTAAAAAAGAATAGATAATAAAATTATTCTATTTTCTAAAATATAAACGGTTCTCTAGCAGTGGGTAAGATGATGCTTGCTGTGCTAAAGCCAAGTCTTCTGTTACAGCTGGCAATAAAGCCTGGGAACCTTTTCAAGAGGCTGGGAAACTTAGGTAAAATTCTGCCTATAACAGGAGACCTATGAAGAGTGTAGAATTTGGAAGATAAAGACAGTGAAGTCTAGAAGAGAAGAAATGATTAGATTTCAGGTTATAAAATAAGCCATCTAAATCAGAGGCATTTTTTAAGATACTGGTTTTCAACTGGTGCATGATACCCCACTTGGCTTATTGCAGATTCTTCATGAAGTGTGATGGTAATTTTTATTTATACCTGGGCATCTGTATTGGTACTATGTAAGTTATAATAAAAGTCAAGCTTACAGGCTGCGTGATCAAGTGGACAACAGGTATTATATGATCCATGTGAGAGGTACAAAGCAGACAGAACACCAAGCAGCCCCAAAACGATGATGTTACTGGAACCCTGCCTCTGGTGCACAGTCACAGCACTTAACAATGATGTGATACTGAAGCATGATCAGGTAAACAAATGGCACTGCATCCCTGGATGAATTCATGGTCATTCCAAGGCAGGGTTATGATGTACTAGTGATCACGTTGCAATCACTGTTTACATGTTTTCTACTTGTTTGCATGAATGATTTCAAGTCTGCTATCAGAGCTCTAACATTTCAAAATGTATCCAAATACCAATAAAGCTGAAATCATGTCATATTATATGTTCTCTCTCTAGTTATTAGCCATATGTGTATTTCCACTTCTCTCTCAAATTCAATTAAAGTAACATTTGGTATGAATATTGCTATGAGGAAACTCTTAGGGAGACTACAACTAAGAAGAGACCAAACAGATACAATGCTAAGGTAAAGCAAGGTATGTGAAGTGCTAAGATAAAAGGATACAAACAGTGCTGTGGGGAGAATGAGAAATGGCAATATTAAGGATGACTAAAAAGCGAGCAGTTCTGGGACATTTCTTCAGAGGAAGAGGGACTGAAGCAGTCTTGAGACCTTTTAGGAGGCAAGAATGGGTAGAAGCATCCTCGGCAGAGGGCACACGGGTTGTTGTCTATCTGTGGTTAACAAACTGTACCTAGTTATGCATTCAGTGGTCCTCCTATTTTTAGTAACACAGCTTTCTCTTACAAGACTTTTTTAAAACCAAATAGTGGTCTGTGTATCCCATTACCGAGGCTGCAGCACAGGCAGGACTCTTAGTGAGAAGAGACAGCATTAACCCTGCTTTTACCATAACGACCATACACAAATCAGAGTGGAAACTTCATTTTAACTTTTTCGGCAAGCAAATTTTCTCAGTCAGGTAGCTCTTTTCAAGGTCAATCTCCAGAATCACTCCTCTCTCTCATATTATCCAGTTCCAGGCACATAATTTCCTTATATGGTAGTACGCCTTCAAGCCTAGGGTGAGGTTCATTGCTGCATTTTTTTATCAGTTTAATTTTTCTTGTTTCAGTAGTCTCCCGGAAGTCCAGTAAGTAAAGCTGCTTGGGTTGAGGCAGTGGAGGAGTGGTAGCTTCCCTCCCCTCTCTGAGCCTGGAGGCACCTCTGTGGAAAGCCTGGGGCTCTGTGCATGACGGTTTCAAAGCCAGCTCCCTGGGACTTCCTGACTCCAGGACTGCCCAGTCATTCCACCAAAACCTCACTCTTTCAAACAGTCTAGGCACAAATATTACATTCTTGAGAATTTCTGGATATTCCTGCTGTTACTAAGGACATGTTTGGATATTTATGAACAAATAATAGAAAAATAAATCACCAAATCTCTTCCTCCTATTAGTGATGCTTGGAAATGTCAATTTACAAAATCAAGTTACAGACGTTGGGTTATTTAAATTGAGAATTAGTGTTTAGATAATGCCAGTGGTTATACTCAATTGCAGCCAGATGGATTTATGTAAAATAGTGAAACTATATCTAAGAATTTTAAATGGACATTTTAAACAAGATTAGAAAGCATGGGTTTCAATTCCTTCAAAATGCTGAAGATGTCCACCTATGCAGAGAAGCTGAGACAGGTCCTTAGAAAAAGAATACATTTTGGAGGTTCTTTTTAAGGCAAGCCTCTACACCTTTTCTCAAAGGCTCATCTCTCAGATGCTTTGATTTCCTTTTCCTATCTTATTACTCCCATACTTGAGAAAAACAACTAAAACCTTTTTCTTATTCATAAGCCCAATTTTTTTAATGGCCACATGGGCAAAAATATGAAACACCATGTTAAAATCATGGTGGTAGGGAGGCTGGAATTGTCACATTGCTGGTTAAGCCACTGCCTGTGATGCTAGATCCCATAAGGGCACCAGTTCATGTCTGGGCTGCCGCACTTCCAATACGGCTCACTGCTAACAGCCTGGGAAAGGCAGCAGCCTGGTCCAAGTGTTTGGCTCCCAGCCATCCATGGGAGACCTGGAAGAAGCTTGTGGCTCATGGCTTTGGCCTAATCCAGTCCTGGGTGTTGTGGCCACTTTGGGGGTGAATCAGTGGATGGAAGATCCACCCCCCTTTCTGTCTGTAACTCTGCCTTTCAAATAAATAAATCTTTGAAAAAAATTATGGTGATAGAAACAGCTTTGTCTATGAATTCAGGCAGAGGATTGGTCTTACATATATGAAAACAACTTTTAGTTGCCCACACTTGGGAATCCTAACTAGTAGAGACTGTAATAAATTTTGTTAAGAAGGGTAATTATGACTTTATCAACTCCTCCTTGATGGGTGGATTTTGCTTTTCCTCCAGCATTAATTCTCGCCTCTATGATATAAAGAATAGTTAACTTAAAAAGTCTTAAAGAGTGAGCAACTACCTCTCCCAGCTACTGATCAGGACCTCCTGGGACTCAGGGGATTGATCTGAGAGTTGATGAAATTGCTGAGGACACTAACTGCCCTTCTCACAATTGCAGCCCTTTGGTTTATCACAAACACTGATTCTCTACAGAGAACACTGGCAGCCTCATGCTGGGCATTAGCTGTTCCCCAAGGAAATTAGCCTGTGCAGGGGTCCAGATTGTGTGGCATTCCCACAGTAGCTGCCCATTCTTGGCCATTTCTGCAGAAACCGTACTGGCTGGCAAGTGACAGTTGTGCCTCATCTGCTGAAGAGGTGACTGGTTGAACAAAGTCTCATTTTCATCAGGCTGAGATGAAGTGGTGATCAGAGATATCCTTGCATCCTTAGAGAACTGCTAGAAGTTTTTGTCTCTGATGAAACCTTGCAAATAGGCTGCAAAACAAAATCAGTATGTTGTCAAATGGTCATCCATATCATGAGAAAGCATAAAAATTAGCAATATAAAGTAGGCTGAAGACAAAGCCCTGCCCTCAATAGTCTTGCTA